TCACACCCAACCTCACCTAGCCGCACTGCACTAATGTGTTTGAGAGAAGGGAGGGGAGGGGGAAGAACGAGGTGGTGATTTCTATAAATTTGTGCAAAATAAGTAGATAACAGTGCAACCATACACGATGCAAAGCACCGCATCATGCTGTCCAACCCTATTTTGGGCACTTTGTCCCTTAAAGCTTTCTCCACCCATTCACTCCTGCTTTCGCGCACAGACAGAGACACACCTGCACTCAGAAAAACAAAAGCCATCATCTTTGGCGGCGCTGCTGCTTGCCAGTGTTACGCTGACGTCCCCCCTGGCGTTGTCGTTCCTCGTGGCGTTGTCGTTCGTCGTGGCGTTGTCGTTCGTCGTGGCGTTGTCGTTCTTCGTGGCGTTGTCGTTCTTCGTGGCGTTGTCGATTGTCATTTCGCTGTCTCTCATCCCTGCGGTCACTTCTTGAGCGCTGCGAAGCAGCGTTGGAGTTGTTGTAATGCGGGTCACCACGATGGCTCCTGTGCCCTACTGGGGAGCGCCGCCGTTTTTGCCCTCCACGGCTCTCCTCCCTTCGGCGGCTACCCGAGCGATGTCGGCGCCTGTCCCCGGAATGATGACGTCTGCGGTGGCTACTGCTCCTTCGCCGCTTTGTCCGTTTTCCTTCCTCCTCTTCCTGTCGCCGCCTCCGCTGCAGGTCCTTTAGATCCTCAAAGTGAAACTCCTCCTCAACGGTTCGCCTAGCAACGAGAGGTACGCCACTTCCCGGTGACAGAGTTTTGCCGGGCATATCCATGCGCATTGGGTTGTGGTGACTGATGCTGTCGGCACTGTCATTGCCGCTGGCATTGTCGTCCTTGCCGCTCGCGCCTGGGTTGGCCGCTGGAGCAAAGCTGAGGTGAAGCGGAGGTTGGAGAGACCCCAGCCGGTTACTTGGAGCCAGGACGGGTGCCACGGGCAGCGACGGAACGCCAGACGGAATTTTTATGCCGGAAGGAGGGATCGGCGGCGCTACCTCCGCCGGCTGCGCCGGCGGCTGAGGCGTGGGGGCCTCGCGCTGGCTCTCCGCCGCGGGCACACTAACAACCGTGTCACCGCCCGCCGTGCCGTCTGTCGTCGCTTTCGGGTAGCACGGCTTCGTCTGCCGCGTCTCGAGGAGGAGACGCACATTGTTGCTTCCCGAGTTCACCGCCTCTTCAAGGTGCTTCCGGTGGAGACGCAACACGGCGTTTAACTTTGCCCGCTCCACGCCAAAAGCCAGGGGCCAATTCTCCGGGAGCCCAGTGACATTCGAAGGCCGCGTGGAAAAGAGGAACACACCGCGAGCACGTGGGCTTCCTCCGCGTATAAGTCTACGCAACGAGGTATATCATTCAGCCAACACACGGCGTCTGCAAGCCACCGTTTCACGGCCGCGTTGGAAAAGGATCCATTGAAGTAAAAAGGATGACTCGTCGTTGAACCAGCATCTGTGGCAACTCCCACGTTGTCGTCTTCAACAATCATGCCAAGGAAAAGAATGGCATACTTGAAAGGACACTCCACAAAGGTCTGAAATCCAAGCGCCTGCAAAACAACCTCCTCAGCCTCCAGCATACATAGCTTAAAATCATCGTACCGCTCTGGTGGAGGCTGAAGTTGCTCAATGACCGGCTCACCCCGACGGCGCTGGTTTAGGCGCATGAACACGCCCACAATGAGACGAATGCGCATGGAGTGATCCTCCATCTTTGCCGCAATGAGAACACACGCCGCGGTCAGATACGTGATATCGTCGTGCTCGCGCAGCTTGAATAAACAGTAATCTAACGGAGCATACGGATCCCCTAACGCAAGAACCCCAGAAGGGCGTTCTGTCCCAACGTGTACTGGCACCGTGTAGGACGCTTTTCGTGTACCAGACGCCTGGTCGTTACTTCTGCCCCCGTCTGTAAAACCGTGTTCCTCTTGGTAGTCTCCGCGCTTACGCCGAACCCCCTCGGCGACCGCCTGGAAGCGCTGAAACAAGACAGCGGCCCTGTACGCCACTGAAGGTGTGGTGCGAAGAAGAAAACATCCCGTTCGGATGAGGTCTGCTCCGTAGGCGGTATACACCCGCCTGGCATCGTCTATCCAGCCGGTAAGCAGAGACATGCTGCTAACGCCGGCGGCCCCACACACGTCCTGCACCGCTCCTCGCCTCCTTCCTCACGGCGAGCCTTTTTGCACTCCCGCACCCGACACCAGCGAGTCGACGGGTGTAAGAGGATAAGCAGCAGCTGCAAAGGGAGCAATAAGCGAGGAGGAACCGACAACACGTTTTGCGAGCAACGCGAACGCAGACAGAGGCTTCAACGAAAGTGAGCAGGACAGAATGCATGAAAAGAGACCAACCCAACAAGATGAAGCAAGCGCACACAACCAATACAAGGGAGAAGCAAGACCATATTAATAATAATAATAGCGACGTACTAGAGAAGAAAAAAGAAAGAAAGGAACTGTACGAGCACGCTGCCTTCCCCCTCCCCCAGCCAACAAAAAAAGAACAATGACGAACAAGAAAACAAGTTTCACCCCTTCTTTTCTTTTCTTCTACTTCTTGGGAGTGGCTTGGCGTTCCACATCCGGCACGTTGCCAAGCGTTTAGAGGTCGGATTCCCCCGTCCCCACGTCCTCCCAATCGTCCTCACCGCCGCCACTTTCACGGCGCTTCCGCCGCTGTGTCCTTCTCACCTTCGCCTCGCCGTCCGCGTCAGTCTCCCCAGCCTGGGGCTTGCCGTCCTTCCTTCCCCGCATCATCGCCTGCACGGCGGCGAATTCATCCTCGGAAAGATCCATAATGGAGGGGTCGACCTTTGCCACCGCCTCCTTGTCACCCCGCAGAAAAGCCTCCTGCATCTTCGTAATCTCCTCACGAGAAAAAATGGTCTGCCGCCGGTTCTCCTTCCGCTCCATGTGATCCATCATCCGTTCAACCTCCATCTCTTTTGGGTCAATCTCCTCCATAGGGTCCGCATCCATCATAGTGACGAGCTCATCATACCTGTCTGCGAGTAGGCGCCGCCGCTTCGTACAAATCGGTGAAGGTCCGCATAGGGCCTGCGCAAAGGTCCCTGCATCTGCGTATTCAGTGAGGTGTAACAGTCGTGGCGAAAGAGTGTCCATGCTTTCGTGATCCATAACGGCTTCACAGGCCTCCACCACGGTGCTGCACGTGCGCTTGCACTTGGTATAAACTGGCAACTCCTCCACACCCAAAAGATGGTCTGTATCGCGCCTGTGAGTGATGGTAATTCGACGTATCCACTGGCCGACCTCCGTGAAGGGGTTGCAGATATCCTCCAGCACCGTCAACACGTCCTCCTCGTTCATCCGCACGCGTGTTTGAATGCTGGCGTTAAACAGCCCCAGCACATTCCCATATGCCTGCTTCACCGCAAAGTTACAAACACCACATCTGATGCCATCAATCACTTCCTTCGGAAAGGCGTCATGCAGCGGTTTTTCCTTCCTTGCATCAATTGCACTGGAAAGTAACAGTGTCACCAGTATGAAAAGGGAAACTACGAATGTGCGCATTGGATTTGCCTTGCTTATCCGTTCTTTCCTTGGTTTTTCTTTGGAGTGTATGCAGTGCTTGCGTACGTGTGTGTGTATGTGTTTATTCTTCTTTGTTGTCGCCTCTCTCCCTCTCTAACGATCTCTCTCGGCGAATGTGGTCCGCCGCCGTCCTGAATGGATAGCGAAATGGTTCCACCTGTCACGACGACCTCGTCCTTTCACACGACGGTGCAGCAAACGCAAAAGGAGGGAGCAACCAAGGGTAAGTGTGCGCGGTCTGTGAGGAGAGGCAAACTGAAATGCCACGCAAAGCGAGGGAAGACAACGACAACGGCGTGCAGAGCGGAAAGGTCCAAGAGAAACAAAGGAACAAAAAATAAAAACGGGTTGATGTACACACCAATTCAACAGAAGGAAGTGCCACGCATCATTGCCCCGCCGGCTCCAACCCTCCTCCTCTAGCGAGAAGGAAACATTCCTGTACACGCGGCGTTGGCTCCACCCCAGCCCACGAGTGCCATTCTTCCGCTTCACCGTGCTGTTCCGTCGCACGGCAAGGATGACGACGCAGCGCGGGTATTGCCCTCAAACTCCTCACGGATGCGTCGGATGCCCTCAGCGTACTGTTGCCTCGATCGCCGCAGCTCCTCGTCATCCTCCTCCGCATTGAAGTAGTAGTACACGATCGTTCGTAGCCAATCCGGCATGTTGTCCTGGCGCGCCAGCTTGATGGCCTGCTTATTCAGGTAGTGGCCCCATGGCTCGGACGCACGCACCAAGGCCGTCTCCGCAGTTGACAACCGGCACAGAAACGAGGTGTGCGTCACTTCAGGGGCCTTGTCCCTCACGACCCCAGCAAAGCGGGACACCGAAAAAGGATTCTGCCCAAACGTCTTCACTTCTTGCCCAGGTGGAGGAGCTGCGGTGGCCAACCACCCGTTCCATAGCATCTGCAACTCCTGGTGGAGTTGAACAAGACGCCGCTCCGTCATCACAGGATCGATGCGTTTGCCGCCGCGTTGCAGTTCCTCCTCGTCAGAGTGCAACATGACAGAGGCCTGTGCCTCAATGAGTTTCGCTAGTATTCTCGCCGAACCAGGCGCCATGTCTGCGACATGGTCGCCAAAACCTGCGCAAACAAAGGAGTTAAACGCCGCCCCGTTATTCGTTATCAACGGCACACCGTCTGGAGTAAACGAGCGGATGTACCTCGCGGCTCTCATGTGGGGGATTGGCGCGGATGCCGCTTCCGCCACCTCATCCACCCGCGGTCGTTGTTGCTGATACTCTTGCAAAAGTGGGAGGTGAAGACTACACTTCACACGAAGGTACTTTTCTAGGCACTTCAGCATCCCCACAACGTTGGCCTCGGACTTGACGGTGGAGTCAAACGACATCAAGCCCTGCAGGATGATGCTATCCTCTGCATTGCTCTCGGCGTCATCTCGGGCGGGGAGCTTGTACGCCACAAGATGACTGCCTGGCGACAGCGAAACCAGGCCTGGCGCAACCCTGTCCAGCGCGCCTGCCAGCGGCGAAGACGCCACGGCGCTAGAATTCGCCTTGAGCGCGACGGAGCAGCCGCTTAAACCGATAATGGGGAGCTGCGAGGAACCCCACGTCAGCGGTCCCGTGTGCGTCCCGGCAGTGAGCACAACAACGTCAAAACGGCGGTTGTTGAATTCCGTGTGGCCATCCGTCTCGCGGGCAAAACGCAACGTCGACACCATCTCAGCACTGTAGCGGAGATACGTGGTGCTGTCGACCAGCCTCTCGCCGAGGAGAAACTCCACGCCGTACTGCCTTTGCGCAATCCGCGCCAACTCACGCGTCCAGCCGACAGGGTCAATCAGCAACGGTCTCGAATGCGCCGTCGCGGCAATGTCTACTCCGCCAGCGCCGCCCGCAGTGGGGTCAAACGTGCCCACCGACACACTGCGACTCAAAATGTACGGTGACAGACTCCTGTGCCTACGAGCGAGATCTTCCACAACGTCGACGCTCAGCCTTGACAAGTTGTTTGTGTACTGCATCACCTGGGCATCCGTGAGCGTATTCCAGCGCCGCGCCCACAACCAGCGGTGAATGGCGGCAGAAAAGAAGGAATTCCATGAACCCTCTGCGGAAATGATATCCGGGCACGCCACTTTCAACGTTCCGTGCAACAATTCCCGCCCCATGCGTAGCGCGTGAATGTACGGCTGCAGGAGACCGACTCCCACAAACGGAAAGGCGTACTGCGTTTCGCCCAGCCCAACTGCGCGGCGCTGCTCAAAGACGGTGACCCGGAAGCCAAGCTGGGCGAGCTCGTACGCAGCGTGAACCCCGGCCATCCCGGCACCAATAACAGCCACCGTTGGGGCTGTGGTGTCAAAGTCTTTTAGCAGCGCATCCGTGTCGCGGCCGTGGGGAGGCGCGGAGGACACGGCAGTCGTGCCACACGCGCGGGAGGCCCAAATCCCCATCCAACCCTTTTCCTCAACCACCTGCCGGGCGTATTTTAGGCCAGAGTAAAACGATACAATTGTGTGTGTGTGTGTGTGTGTGTGTGTAGTAAAAGGGGATTTACAACTACCGCGCTTGGCGTGGCACAACCAACTCCGACGAAAAGAAACAACAAGCAGGCAAGCAGGCGTGAAACACACACACGTAAAACAAGAAACAAACAGAAAACAAAAGGACATAAATCACTGTGCGGTCGTGTGAGATAAATTTCCTCCGTCACAAACATGGCATTAGCTGGAGGCCAACACATGAGGTAAGACAATTCATTCCAAACTTTTACACGAAGGGGCATTACGTTCCGTAACCGTTTCTTCTTTTTTTTCCTCCATTGTTTTTTTTCCCCCGCTGGTTCATTTTTTTACTCGGATTTGGGTGTTCCGCCTCTCCCTCAATGTACAGGCCTCAAAAAAGAGGCTGCGTCGCGAAGCCAGTCCTCCTGCACCACAGAAACATCTTTCATGTACTGCCTCGTCGTGCGCACCACGCTGTTAAAAACCACCAGGGCCGGCTTTCTGCGCTGCGCAAAGAGAACCGAGGACGGGTGAAGGTGCACCACTTGCTGGCCCACCACCGTCTGATAGTTGCCGATCTCGGCGTTAAAGAAAGCGGCATTGAGTGAAAGTCCGTAGCAAAGCGCTCGTCGAAGCAGTTCAAAATCGCGCAACTTCGCCGTACTCGACGTGTGTCCGTTCGGCAGTTCGCATGCTCCATCTTCCTTTGCTACAGCAGTTGCACCGTCACGGCGGCGCTTGCGCTGGAAAGTGGCGTCCTTGTCCCCCGCATGTGGGAGGCTCCGCAGCAAGGTTGACAACAACGCCTCATCACTGTGCTCGTTCAGGATCGCCTCAAGTTGTGTCATGACATCCTCCGCCTTGAGCATCTGACTCGGGTTGAGCGCGTTCGACTCACACCACATCCTGCGCTGCTCCTTCGGGACACGCTTGTAGGCGTAATAGATGCTAAGCAAGGTCGCATGATCGCCTGCGGACTTGGCAAAGGCAGCCTTGCAGCGGTCAGCTCCGTCCTTCGCCTCACGAGATGTAACAAAAAGATTCTCAGTACATGTCATGGCAACGGCGACGGTGACGTCGCGTTCAACACCCATGGCTTTCCCCGCCAAGAGCACTATGGCGGCCATGGGCTCAATGGGAAAATCTATCAGGCGTTGTCCGAGGCGTGTGATGCGACCGTGGCGATCCAACGCACCAAGCAGCATCAACGTCTCTTCAGCTTTCGCCACAGATTTGGGGTCAGGGGCATCCATAAATTCAAAGTCCATGATGCGGTCGATGCGGAGGCTCTTCATTTGCAGTACGACACTGACAAGTGAGCTCCGTTGAATTTCCGGCACCGTATTTTCTGCCAAAGACTCAAACGCCTGCGCGGTGTAGAGACGGAAGCACTTCCCTGCTGTCATACGTCCCGCTCGCCCTGTACGCTGCGTCGCTTGGGCCCTACTAACGTCAACTTCGGACAGCAACTCCATCCCGGTTTTGCTGCTGAAGTACTTTGCCTTCACCACCCCACTGTCCACCACGTACTTAATACCATCCACGGTAATAGACGTCTCTGCAATGTTTGTTGCCAGAATGACCCTTCGCTTGCACGGCAACGAGGGTTCAAAGACGCGGAGTTGCTGTTCGTAGGGCATGGCAGAATAAAGCGTTAGCACCGTGAGGTCTTGAAGGGTGCTCGGCATCAGCTTCATTCGTCGTTCCAAGATGCGCTTGGCATCCTCAATTTCTTCCTGCCCAGTTAGAAAACACAAGACATCCCCCGTTTCCTCCTTTTCGTGAATCTGCAGAAGCGTGCTCACGGCGGCCTCCACGTAGTCTGCCTGGGGCTCCACCGTGTGGAAGATCGTGACAGGGTACGACCGGCCGTGGACGACACCGATAGGGGCATTCCACCAAAACTTCGAAAAGTGCTCTGCGTTCAGCGTGGCTGACATGACAACAATATTCAGGACTTTTTTCCGCCTCCGAACAATGTCTTTTAAAAGGCCAAAAAGCACATCGCCGTGAAGCGTGCGCTCGTGGGCCTCGTCAAGCAGCAAGCAGCGATAGCGTGAAAGCTCCGGGTCCGCCTGAATCTCACGAAGGAGAATGCCATCCGTCATGTACTTGATGCGGGTTTGGCTGCTGCAGGTGTCGTCAAAGCGCACAGCATACGCCACCTCGCCCCCCACGCGTCCCCCGCGCTGTTCTGCCACGTGGCGAGCGATACTAACCGCCGCCACACGGCGCGGCTGCGTGCAGCCCACGATGCCCTGCTGCCCTGGCGGCGCCTGCGCGACCAGGTCGTCCCACACGTACTGGGGAATCCGCGTCGTCTTGCCAGACCCCGTTTCACCCACAATAACCACCGCATTGTGGCGCCGAATCATACGAACGATGGCCCCACGTGCCTCCTCCACTGGAAGATGCACGACTGTCGGTTGCCGCGTCGTGATCTCCTCCGCCTTCCCCATATTACCGCTTGGAGAAAATCCAACGAGGGGACCCCAGCAAGAAATCTCCGCGTCGCACCGACCGCTGCCTCGCCTCTCACCCGCCTCTTTGCCTACACTGAGAGGAAGAGGAATAACAATAGAACATAAAAAGACACATACAGACATACATGCGCAGAAGAATAAAAACGGAAATAAAAGAAAGATATATATATACGCACACACAAGTCGTGGGGACGCAGAAAGGAGTCGGCACGACAGCTCTTCAGAGACATACACACAAACTGAGAGAGCAAAGAGAGGCAAGGAAGAATAAATAAACATTTTGGACACAGTCGATGCAGCACCCACGCACAACACATTAAGGAGCCAACAAAACATCACAATTCCCGTTCCATTGTGTAGGCCCATTTGGACACAAATACAGAACCACAAGAGGTACAGCACACACACACACACAGAGAGAGAGAGAGAGGCAACAAAAACAAAAACAAATTACATTAAGATGTAGTCACAGGGGCAGAGGCATTAGAGCGTACCATCCATAATAGACTACGCTTCAAAAGGGAAAACAATTGTTAGTTAATGAAACAACTTCGGCCATAACAGGTCGTGTGGTTGTACAGAATCTCCGCGTGCGTTTCATTGACGTTGTACAACGTGGTCAAGAGAACATCTGAAAAGGGTACAGTGCAGTGCAACGTGAACCCAAGCACAAATTTCTCACCATTTCCGTCCGTGCCAGGGATTTTCTCCGGTCGCCACAACGTTGTAGGCAATCTGGCGAAGCTCGCGTAGAGCAGCGCACCACCGCCGGCGCCTGAGGTGATAAAATCCGTCTCTTCATAGCGGTGTACCTCCAACAGATGATCATCCCCGTTAAGATACATGTGTATTTCATGCTTAGCAAGAAAAGGCAGTGCACGCCTGCGGAAGGGACGGTTCCGGGCCAAATGCATCCCATGCATACTACCTGAAAACACCGTTTCATGGTTCACCACCAGCCTCCAGCGATGATTTCTCCCGCGCAGACGACGCGAAAAAAAATCGGTGCCGTCAGCCACCTGCTGCTGCCAAGAGCCGTCTGCGTAACTATTCAGCACATACATATCCAACAAATCCGCGGCACATGACTCGGTCGTATCGTTTACCAACACTGCCGTCGCACCACCTGCCGTGACATCGGAACAGGCCTGGACGAGGGGAATGCTGGCGCCGTAGTGCGACGCCGGAAAGTACCAGCGGGCACTTCTCTTCCCGTAGCCTATCTGTGCGGAGAGCTTCCCCCGCAAATCATGGTTTCCGACAGAGATGAGAAACGGCACTGCCTGAAACGCCACATCTGAAAACGGCTTCTCAAACGTCGTGGACCAAGCCTGGTCTCGAACAGAGCTAACCCCGGACGGATAAAAATTATCGCCGGTGGAAACCAAAAATTTAACCCAATGCCGCCGCATCAACCGCTGAAGATGTTTGATGACGAAGCCCTGGTTCGGTGTGGCACCTCCCCAGTCTCCAATAGCTGCAAAACATATCGGCGGCACGGCCTTTGCGACCTCCGTCGCGTGGCTCGAAAGGGAAACCAAAAGGTCGAAGCGAACCATGCAGTCGGACGGCAGCAGTCCTTGTATACCAAAACCCCATTCATCTTTTTCATCGCGTCTAAACCGCCGGCACGACTGTGGTAGGGGTGGAAGCGTTACCTTGGCATTTTGCACCACGCGAGGCGAGAGCGCCTCCGTCTGTTTGAGATCTGCAGCGGGAGTTTTCTCAACCTCCACCTGCCCAGAAAACGGCAAGTGACACTCTTTGCAGTGCACCCCGTGTATTACCAAGAGCGGCATCAACTCCAGCATCACCACCAGCGAAGTCAGTTTGCCCGAGGCGCTTTTGCAGGCCAACGCAAAACTCTCGAAGCGGGGATGTGCCCTGCAACCGTCGGTGACGCTCACGATGCGGCCCCACGAGCCACGGAGCCAGAAACGCGTGCCGTTCGCCAGCTCAGTGAGACCGGCTTGTGGAGGGTGCTCTGAGGGCAGCATTCGGATGATGGGTCCGGAGGGGCCATCGCGGTAAGAGCAAAACGCCACAAGGCAGAGGAGAAGAGTACCCGACAACATCACTAGAAAAACTCTAGCCCACCCCAATGCGCCCCGCGGCTCTCGCGCCAACAATCCTGAGTGGCCGTCATGGTCGCCACTCCTATTCCCTCGGCGGATGATGCGGAACAGAGGCACCGCATTGCCCATCACGTCATTTACTGCACACCAAGCACAGAGAACGTGAGCGACCTGCGAAAAAGGGAGGAAAAACAACGAACAAAAAAAAAGCGCACTGCAGCCGACGCGGCTGGGGAAGAAAATACGGCCACAAATCCCAATCAGCGTCAGACTGAAGAGAGGGCGATGAGGGGGACAAGATGGAATTTACTACGGCAACTTCCCCCGCTCCTCCCTCTCCAAAGAACAAATAAGGAGGAGGCCCGGGAGGTAGTAAAAGAGAGGCTCGCACAGAGGTGCAACCAAGCAACCAAGAAGACGGCTCCCCGTCTTTTTTTTTTTAGTTTTCTCCTAACTGCAGAGCGAAGCCGCGTCCCCGCCAAACTGAAGCGCCGCTGGCGTATTTCCAAAGAAGTGCTGGAACTGATATGCAGTGTAGACGTAGAAGGGCATGTCAATCGGTTGCAGGCGCAACCACTCCGCGCGGGCGGCATCTCCCATCGGGGTCTTCGCTTTCAACGCCGTGGACAAGAGCTGATGCCCCGGGTACGTTGCCTCGGCCCACTGCTCCGCCAAGGCAAGCGAAAGCGCAATTGGAATCGTCCGACCGCGCATTGGGCGAGGAATGCGCTCGTGAAACATGCGCCAAAAAAATGTAAAGAGGTGGCATTATGATACAGGTGGGAGCCAGGTACATCTGGTACTTCATGAAGCGGTAGGCCGTCCAAAACTGCATCTCCTCCTTGGTGCTAGGCAGCTCATCCTCGACGCAGAGATGACGACAGTTATCCATGAGGACGCGGATGTTTCTCGTTTTGTCGCGCGTGTGCCGCTCACTCGGGATGGGGTAGAGCGGCACGCGGTAGTGCAGCCCGCCCGTCCCCTCCCAACTGCGTGCGGCCGGATCATACTTGCCGAGGTCGTCGTCTTCCAACGCGGCCGCCTTGAAGGAGGTCTGGGTGGAGCCCAAAACGACCTGCGCAAAATCCGCAATGAACCCCGTCAGGGCGCTCGCCAAGTCGAACAGCGACGGAATGTTCTCAATGCCGGTGTTATAGTGCGACATCGGCGGTGCGGGAGACGGCGCACGACCTCCTCGTCGCTACAATTCCCACCCCCACCCTCTCCCTCCGAGAAACACACACACACACACACACAACTCACGGAGGCCAAGCCGGGCTCTGCGCAGAAAAACAAACAATCGAACAAACAAACAAAGTGAGGTGTGAGACAAGCGAAAAATTGGAAATAGAGTACAAGAGAAAAAGAAAAAGCAGATACACATACACATACGCACACGAGAAAAGAAAAGAACAGCAACAAGAAAAACAACACCAAAAAATGTGGAAAAAGGAGGAGTAGTAGAGAATGAAAACAAAACAACAGCAACAGCAACTGCAACAAGAGTAAAACAAAAACAATTCCGTTGCTACCGAGTTGGAAGCGCCGTCCAGGCATCGAACTCGGGTCGCGCGGGGAGTTTCAACACCTCCATCTCCCTTCTACCCTTCTCCATGGGGCGCAGGTTGAGTCGCTTGTTGCGGTGAATGCGGACGTACTCTGTCGGTTGCCTTTTCTCAAGCGCATGGGGCGCCTTGTCACTATATCGCCTCTTTAGCTCTTCAAAATTTTTCCTCCGCACATGCGCCTCATTCTCCATCAGTGACGGCGGCGTTGGCTTCAAATTGTCACGGGGGCGCGTAAAGGCATACGCACGGTCCATGCGGTCCGCCGCCACTTCCACCACATGAATCATCTCATCACGCTTCCCACCACACCGCATTTCCTCGCAAATTTGAGCCACGCGCAACAAAATCGCAACAGCATTGGGGTGCGAATGCGAACACGCCTGCGCAAACCGGGAACAACCCTCAACGTACTGCAAAAAAGTATCCTGATCGGGCTCTGGCAGTTCCTCGAATTCCTTAATTTGCCCAGAGAGACGCATTTCGCTAAAGCACTCCAGGGCCTGCAAAAGCAGCTTTGCCTTGTCAAATCCGCGGTTGTTATCCTTAACCTTCCAACGGGCGGTCATCAAACCAACAATAGCGTTAAGTCGATCCCGTGGCGGCAGATCACTCAACCTGTTAGTTGAAAAGAGGTAGACGTCGTTGCTTGCATCCTGGGCGTACTCTGTGAAGCACTCCGTGGCCTCCCGCTCGTGGCCCTGCTCGTGCACCAATTCGTAGTTGTTTCCGCCCGTCAACCACCAGTTCCTCGCAAATCGGATGCGGTCTTTTACCAAGCTTTTGTGCCGGGCCGTAGGGTATTGGTGCAGATTCCGAAGCCCCGCCTTCTGCTCCATCAAGGCTACGCTCGATGTCAGTTGTGCCGCCTCCGCCCGCGCCGCCGTTGAGCCTAACACGTGGACCCGCACACGATGCCACATGCTTTTACTTGCACATTGCATGGCCGACAAGCAGAGAAATGCAAAGCGGCGGAAACAGTCAAAGGAAACACACGCCACAAGGAGCCGAGCACGCATCCAAGAAAGCAGTCAAACTCCAACGCCCCCCCAGTAGTGGGGGAAACGGGGAGCAGGAAACGGGGATAACGCCAACACCCAAGGCAACCACACCCCAGAGAGAAGGGGTAACGAGAAGGAAACAAGCACCACCACCACCACAGCCACAGCCACAACAAAAATAACAACCAGAAGAGCTCCTAACCATAGCATCCATGACGCCACAACCGCATCACCAGTTGGTTTTGCCCCTCTTCACCTCACGCGTTAAGGCCCGCTTATCCTGCGTCTTTTTGCGTGTGGTCTTCTTCTTTTGGGTGTACGCTGGTGCTGCCTCCCGCGTCTCCTTCGCCGCTCGCACGGTCTTTTCCCGTTGTCTAGAACGCGTCTCATGAAATCGCTTTTCGTCGTATTGCGTCCTAGGGCGAAATGGTGTACTGGTGGCCACTCCTCCCTCCTCCAGCAGGCTTCTCTTGGGGCCGTGGTTCATACCACCGCTGCTGCTTGAGGCCGACGAGTCCGAGTCGTTCGCGCCCTGGCGAGCCTCATACGTGCAAACCTCCGCGACCTCCTGGGTGTCGTCAACTTCATCGTCGTACATCAGCTCGGTCAGCATGCGGATCTTATCCCGCATTGCATCGTCCACTTCAAACATCTCCGCAGCCCCACGGTGGTCGTCGGGGTGGTACGTGGTGTAAACAAGATCGCACGAGGGCTCCTCAGCCGACACGATCCCGCCGTCAGCGTTGATGGTCTCATATAAATCAGAACCAATAAACAAATTCAAATCCACCGCATCGAAGTCCCTGTCGTAGTCTTCCTGCGTCAGCGCATTCGCGGTTGTGGAAGTGAAGCCTCCAGCGGCGGTTGCATTAATTTCGGAGCTCCCCGTTTCCGCTCGAGCTGCTACTCCCACGGCATTGGAGGGCGAGGCTTCGGTGAGCTGCGCAAGAAGGTGCGGGGCGATGTTATCCATAGATGCATCCAGAATAAACTGTTCCACGTCTTCGTTGTAATACCGCAAGGCAGCCTTGACGCCCTCCACGTTAAAGTGGGGCATGACTCCCAAGACAATGTTTACCAACGGATCTGAAGAATCAGGTGTTGGCTCTGCGGCAGTGCAGAGTTCCGTACTGCAGCCGTTGCCTCCCTCACTTCTCGTCATCGCGGCTTCCCCGGTGGCCTTGTCCACAATACCGGCGATGGCTTGCGTGAGAACCCGCTCCGAGACCCCAAGCTCCTCCGCCTCCAGAAGAGTAATGAATTTCTTCTCCAAAAGCACATCAATGTGAAACCCCTGACGTATCAACTCCAGCAGAAGTAATTCAAAGTAGCGGGGACGAGCCCCCAGAAATCCATCCGAAAAATCTTTGCTGTCTGGCACCGGTTCACTTAGACAGCGCAACACTTTCCCAATCTCCAAATCTTCTTCCGCCGCCTGTGGAGGCACGAGTGCATGCAGCGTTCTGGTGAAGGATCGTCGTGTGTCGGAGAGCAACACGGCGGGAAGTCCCTGCACCTTCTGCGCAATGTGACTCGTGAGGGCATCGTAGGTAGACGCAACAAGTCGCTCCACACAGTGGCATCGATCATGGCCCGCCACCTTGTGGTAGGTACGGAACAACACAAGAATCGAGGCGGCATTGATAGCGGCATTAAGCATAGCCGAATTCGCCTTGGAAAGCTGTTCACGACGGTTGGCGAGTGCCGTGCAGGTTAACAGAAAATGCTGAAGCAGAGGTGAAAGTAAATCCACTACGACCCGTAAATACTGTAGCAGGCGTGCTAGCGGCATGTAATCTGCAAGAAACGGGGCACAGTGCACAACCGCCCATAACTGTTTCACATGACGGTATACCTGCTCAAAGAGTGAAACCACGTCGCCGGCAAGTCTTTGATGTCTACCTCTCGCTACTTCCCTCACACACTGCACTGACAGACGAGCGGTCGCGTCACACCACGAGGCTGACGTGGCAGGCATTGCGCATAAATAGGCGGGGTTAATAAGAATGAGTGAGGTGACCGTTGCAGACGCGACAGATCCGCAGTGTCGCAGGATGATCAGCGAAAGCGGCATCAATAAGGCAGGCGGAACATGTTGTTCAAGGCAACTCGCCACACTTGTCACACTGACGCCAGCAGACGAGGCAACGGAGGTGGTGGTCACCAACCGAACGAGAAGTGTGATCAGGGCAAGCTCGTCGCTTCGCTGCAGGTGACGACGAAAGGCGGAGCTGTGGGCGTTGCACACCGCTGTGATGAGGTTCCGCAGCGCAAGTGGCAGACTCTTGTGGTTTGCAACGACCGTCCAAAAGGTGTGATCGTCCGACTCCGCGATGAGGGCCACGTCACGCCACGTCCTGTCAGACGCATCGGTGGTTCGGAGGAACGTGCCGCTGACGGCGGCGTCGGGGTCGGGGAATTGCTCCTGCAGCGTCCTCGACATCCCAACTCTCCGCCTCGCAGGCAGCAGGCAGCAGGCAGCAGTGGGAGAAATTAAGTACGGCGAAGCAAGCGACAGGAGGGCCTGGGCACCCACGCCTCTCTAATAAACTATAAAAAGGAAGTGGGGAAACACATACACACACACAGAAAAAAAAAGTGGAGGCACCCCGCCATGAAGAATAGACAGTTGTTGTATCCAATACAAGTAACGATGGAGAAGGATATGGCGTGAGAGGAAAGCTTCACCAGAAAGCTGACATGAGACATCTTCGTCTTTAAGCTGTCATCATACACGGGTGCAGGGGTGCAGGGATCGCAGGTTTGTGTAATTGAAAGAGTGCGTCCAGCTTCTTCAACGCCGTCAGGCCAGTGAAGAAGTCTATCTCGCCTCTTTCCACGAGAGCCGCAGGCAGACAACTGCCGCTCGACGGCCTCCCTTGCAGAGGGGTGTTGTTTGGTAGCGCCTCCGTGCAGACTCCAGGGAACTCGCGCAGAAGTAAAGACGACACATTGCGCGTGATGCCATCCACAAACAGCGCCAGCGGCAAATGTCCCACATCCGAATAGGCGTGAAACTCAAGGTGCGACACGCCGAGGTTCGGGTCTCCTGCCTCCGCCGGCGCATCGGCGGCTCCAGCGTGTGTGCAACAAACACACATGCGCAAGAGGGGGTGAGGTGGCCCTGCAGGCGCCAAACCGCCCAGCCAAAGAGCATCAGAAAAAATGGGAACATATGGAACCAAGTAGCGGTGCAGACGACTCGTCAGCAGAGGGAAAAAATCTGGCGGGCAATGACGCAGCAGTACCACGCGTGATAGCATGAAAGTCTGCTGTTCATCTGTCGCCTCGCCTGCTGTGGCAGAGAAATAGCGCACACATTCGAGCACCTCATCTGGGCATCGCTTGCGAATCAAACTAGGAACAACATATTCCACCAGCCGACGCTGCTGCGTCGGCGGCACGGCAAAATCCGCTGGTCCCGTCTCTGATTCACTAGCCGGACTCCTGCTCCCAGACGAGCCCATCGTCGCATGGGAGAATGAGGAATGAACACTTGCAACGCGTGCCGCATCGGTTTTCCTTTCTGTAGCCACCATGTAACCCGTGGAAGCGTCTCCTGTATTCGTTTCTTTCGCTGCGGAGGCGTGTCGAAGAAGCGCCGTGCCAGAAAGCAAAAGCAGCATTGCAAATGTTTCCATTTCCTTTGCTAGGGAACGGGGAAGCTTGAGTCTGGGGGAAAGCTCCAGCAACAACAGATATGGAAAGGTGCCGCGTGAGACATCTTGATTCGGGTCGCACTCTCCACACCGCTCCAAGCTAACATCCTTGAGCAGCTTGCCGTGCGCCTCTGAACAATTGTTGGCGTAGTTGGCGTAGAGGAACACCGTTGCTTGAGCCCGTGCGATAAATTGCGGATGGAGGCAAACACACACATCGCGCGACGGCACCACTTCCGACGGATGTCGGAACAAAACAACCTCCCCAGCAAGTTGCAGCTGCTCCAAAATCAGCGTTACTTGTTTTCTGCTGACCACCGCCGATGAATAAATAAGTCTCATAAGAGAGTTACGATAAATAAAAATAATGTTCTCCTTCGCCTTGGCGCGGGCAATGAGACGAAGCAGTTTGGCGTTGACAACATCCATGTGCAGAGGCCTCGGCGCGTCAACCACTGAACGAGAAGAGGAGGGATTATTATCATCACCGTTGTGGTCATTGTCTTTGTCATGCGCGCCCCTCCAGCTGGTAGACGCCTCCGCCCCCTGAGAAGTGGACGTCTCTGAAGGGGCTCTGGAAAAGGGGGCGAGGCGGAAGGCGCGCCAGAAGCGCTCGTTGCTTGGAAGCGGCGGAGCTGCCGTCCTCAGCGAATGACGGGAGACGGCATCTTTCAGCGTGACATCGCAAATGAAGCTCCACATCTCTGCCAGAGTGGCAGGACCCCCTCGATTCTCTGCGACGCAAGAGCCATCCAGCGCACTCGCCGCAAATAACGCGTTCACCACAAGTGCTGGCTGCCGGAAGGACGCCAACAGGCCGGTACAAATCGACCGAAGTTCTTTTAAGAGAAGTTCCACTGCTCCTGTGGACTGGTCTGTCAATAAGTCCTTGCGGGTGCCCACCAAAATTATGTTTGGGCTCCGCCCTCCAGGAGAGACCCGAGCGGCAATCGTCGCGAACAAATCATGAAGTAATGCTCGATCTCCTGAATGGATAAGAGTCAGAGACGAACTCTCGCAACCGCCTCGGCACTTCCCCATGAAGGCGAAGTTGCTCTGTGCGCCAGAGCGTTTTTGCTTGATGCCCGTCAGGGAAAAGGCGACGACAACAGTGTCACAACGTGGCAGCACGCGATCAGCCGTACCACCGCGAAGTGGGACAGGTCCACTATCAACAACTCTCACCTGCAGGCACTCCCTTCGCTTGGAGACGGACGGTTGATAAATGTACGTCACAGAGGAACCCGAGCTTAAGGAGTGGAAGTCAGACGCGGAGCCGCAACGAAGCGCAGCCCGTGCGGCGGCAGAAGCAAGGGATGTACGCCCACTGCCGGACTCCCCAAGCACCCCCACGCAACCATGCAGCATTGCTCTGGCTGCAGTGCCACCATTGCCACTGTTGTCTTTGCTGCCGCTCTCGTCGCTGGCGCCGTGGCAACTCCCTCTTGAGTCGGACACCGACGGCGCCGGCGCCGGTGCCTCGCCCCAGCGGAAGAAAGCAGACACCGTGCGTGCCCGTCGCCCACACTCCGAGGAAACCCCGCTGACGTCTCCGTCGCCCTGCGAGCACCGACGCTCGCCCCGCGGCGTGGAAGAAGAGGGGGAGGCGCGCAAAGTGCCCTCCTCCTCGCGGCACGCGTACTCCTCCTTCTGCAGCCGGCGCCGAGAATTGGAGCGCCCGCCCCGCACCTCTCAGGAGCAGCAGCGGCGTCCGTCAGCCGCCACCTTGGAACTGCGAACGCAGAGAAGACCACACACAACACGCGTGGAAGGAGCAAAATAGAGATAGATGGGAAAAAAAAGAAATAATAATAAGAATAAACAAAGAAAAAAAAACTGACAAGAACGCGGGAAAAAAAAGACAAGGAGAGAATCGCAGTCCAAGTCTGTAAAGGCAGCTCAAGGTTTCATGCGCCTTCTTTCGGGCCGCGGGACGCCTCAGCCAAGAAGCACAAGAGGCTTCATATATATTATTTCTTTCGCCCTCGCGTATGGAGACCCTCATTTACCTGAGTATCAACCACAATCAAAAGGGAAGAATTTCCATGAATGGAGGCGTATTCGTTAACAATAAACAAACAAAAAACACACACAAAATAATATTACTAGCAAAGGTCACAAATACACATCTGTAGAGGGGACAATCCCAGGGGCATCCACGCCCGTGCCGAGAAGGAAAACGGGAAAAGAGGACCACCACACCGCCGTGAAAGTAGGAAGACGCGCCGCCGGTGGATCAACCCCCCAGTGCTCCCAAAGATGGTGGTGCAAAGTTCTCCCCTTTGCCTGCTGCCTCCACACCTTCGCGAACTTGAGGATACTACGAGGGGGCGCACTGCTGCCCTCACTCGAGCGCGACAAGCCCCACCACTGACTGGAGGCCAAACCCCGGCGACACGTGCAGGATGTAGCACTCATCCGCATCCATATTTTTTGCTCCCCAGAAGAAAAAGCTGGATTCAACTCCCTCCCTCAGACGTTTGGCGCTGGGTCTTGTAATACTCCACAAAGTCGTCAATGGCGCTAGGCCAGGCATCGTTGACGTCGTATGTGTCATAGCGAGTTAAGGACGTAAACTCCAAGAGCTGCTCCCAAAGATCGCGACTAATGGCGTCGCGGCGAAAGAGTTCCTTGGTTGTGCAAAATGTTATCCACTCCTCAAGCTGTAGAAACGTTTTATATTCAGGGAACAGCATTCGCCACAACTCCACAGCTGTCTCTACATTCATCCCCACCTCGCCCAGACCCCGGGCCGTGGTTTCGGGCGCCCGCACCCATCCAAACATGAAGCGGTAGAACTGCCTGAATTGTTGAGAGTCTTTGTGTAGCAACTCGTCCACTTCGTCCAAGTGGGACCGCACTAGACAAAGGCACGGCTCAAACTCCGGACTCGGTGCCTTTACGGATGAATTCCGCGTGAGCACGTCTGCTTTCGCTCTTCTCGGGGACGCCTCTAGCATCTTCACACCCTTCATGAATTCAGCCTTTGTGACGCTAAGCGGTCTCTGGCAGGACCAGCTCCACGCGAGACGATACATGGAACTGTCGTCGAGTGAGACTCCTAGCATGTCCGCGAGGGTCTCCAACTGCGACAACGCCAACACGTCGCCAGAGGAGCCCTCATGCCCCGCATTGCCCCCCGCCATGATGCTGCTAAAAAGGGCCTCATGCAGCGGGTTGTTGCCACCACCTTTGCCCCCTCGTAGCATCGCCTCCAGCACCCTGCAAGCCGCTATGCTTATTCGAGCCTCAAAGCAGAAAACCCCTACTCTACTGCTTTCCGCGAAAGGGAATGCAAACAAAAAAAACGAGAGAGAGAGAGAAAACAACACAACACAACACAACAAACAACTTACTCATGCCCGTCTCTTGTCCTTGTGATTAGGCCATGGCAGGATGCAAGATAAGCACCGCACAACACTAGAAGTCTCTCACAGACTCCGCATGCGCCAAACAAGAAAAAAAAATACGCAAATAAAACGCGTATTATTTGCTCGCTCTTTTTTGTTTTTATTATATATATATATATATGCGTGCAGTCACTTTCTTCAGTGAAGACTTTTCCAGCCAAGGGGGCCACAGTGGCCTGTGCAGTCTGACACGCTTGTTCAACACCCTCAATGCGGCTCCGCAGGCGGAGCCCTCACCAAGCAATGGAGCTTGACGACGGCCATGTGGTCCCACGCAGGCGCGTTTACCGATTCGTTACGCGCCTCATTTTGGCAGGGTCAGTGCGGCGGACGCAGTCGCACACGGTGTGTATGTTGCAGCGACGCTCCCCCGCCTTCACCCACGCCCCACCTTTCTTCTGCCGCACGGCGAAGGCAACATCGCGGCTCTTCACCATTTTGAGGTCGCCCCGCTTCCGCTTCAGTTTGCCCTTCTTAGTTAACTTCCTCGGGCGGTCCGCCATTGCGAGCTTGCGCTTCTGCTTTGGCGCCTTTTTCGTCCGCTTTCCCATCGCCGTCGCCCGTCGCCGCTATCCGCCCCACCCACTGTTTTTCCTTTTATTTGCTCAGCGGCGCACACGCACGCCGTCGCTTTTCCCCCCGCCCCACGGTCGCTGCACTACGCCAGGGAACACCGGGCGCGAGGAGGTGGCGCCAAACAACGCGACGAAAGAAAAAAAAACGGGAAAAGAAAGCGAATCCAACCGAGGAGAACAAAAGAAAAAAGGAAACACTCACACAAAACATCACAATAGCAGTGAATGAAGACACATGCAGAAAGAAGAAGAGTAGCAACAAAAAAGGGGACGACAAAAAACGAAAACAACAGCAAAGCATATCATGCATCAAGCCAAGAGCCCAGCCCTGGGCATATGTAAAATAAATAAATATGCATAAATACATGTTTATACGTGAAGGGCATGCGGTTTGCAACCAACTAAGCTTAAAAAAAAAAGACTACCTCACGAAACAAATAACACCAACAATTGCTGGGCTCTGTAATGACTCAATGACCACTGCAAACATTTCCTCTTCCCTTTTCCCTTGCTAACTACACCGTCTGCCCGCGGGGGAATTTCGCATGTTGCCCTCCACTCCCATTTTCGCATCGCTGACCGTTGCGCGGCTACAGTGCAGTCATGTACTCAAGCAACTCCACCGCGGTGTCCAAGTGGCCCAAGCGTTCCAAAAGGCGGCAGCACCGCGATTGCTGCTCAGACGTCATAGAATGCCGCTGCCGCCATAAATTCTCCAGCAACACCACTAACGTCTCGCGATAACGTCCTCCAATCCCAATGCGCTGGATGGCGGCTATGGTGCCCAAGACTTCCTCTATACTCATGTCGCCACCGTGACTACGAACCGCGTCACATAACGGACCGAAGCGATAGGAATCAAATTGCGAAGCACTGCAGTTATTTGCAATAACCGTAAACAAGTTAGACAGCGTCGCCGTCGGTTCATCGCCCAAGTGGCGCGGCCGTATCTGTTCCGTCAGATGAAGCACACGCTCCTTGGGGCAGGTGGACCAGGTGCGAAGGAGCACCTCCACCGGATTTTCTCCCGAAACAAGGTCAGGCTGCTGCGGAATCATAGGGTGCTCACGGACGCCGGCATAGAGAAGCGCATTCATCACAAACGGTCCGTCTGCGGGGCTAACGTCGTAGCGCAAACGCTCCGTTATCACCGCCACTGTTCGCTCCACTTTCTTTTTCCACGACTGCCGGAGCTCCTCCGGCACAGACTCTATTGACACCCCTCCCAAAGCGTACATCAGTTGACAACGCTGCCGCGTGGTTAGCCGCAGAATGTCTCTTCGCAGCGTCCGCGCCAGCATGAGCCGGTACTTGTAGTGCACAATCCCCAGACACGACAATGCATGGCCAACAGATACAAACCACGCTGAAGGCAATTCCGCCTCTGGCGAGGAGCCGTACTCTAACGGATCGGTAGGACGTAATGCGTGCAGAAAGACACCGTCCATGAGGGCACGCTCACTAGGTGGCGGCTGCCGAAGCATGGCAAGACCCATTGCATGCTTCCGTAACGCCGTGGCGTTACACTTCTTGAAGTCCATCAGACTGGCAAAAAACTTCTGATGAATATGTCGGTGTTGCAGGACACCCAAGCTATAGATGACTTCCGCGAACTGCTGACAGGTCACAAGAGCGTGGGTGGAAAAGAGCACCTCACAGCAAACGTTGCACAACTCAGCGTCGTACATCCCTATCTCCGCAAGGCAACTCAAACAGATCCCGGCATCTAGTCTCGACAGCTGCATCGCACACAATGACTTTAGGATATGTCTAGCAGATGGGCATTTCTGTAGTTTGGCCTCCATTTGTATCTTGCTTTTGATGGGCAATAATCCAATCATATCGGCACTCACCGGCGTAAAGCGAAACCCCTCGCCATAGACGGCGTCTGTCCCCCGAAGCAGCGCCAGGAGCGTTGAGGTGTGCGGGCGTATTTGCTGCAGCTTCCACTTCTGCAAGGTATTTTCTAGGGAAGGGACCAGTAAAGATTTCAACGACGATAGCGATGGTGATGATAATAATGCCGGTGATGAAATTCCAGCGTTGTTATGCAGCTTCTCGTCACTCGCTGGTTGACGGGCGAAAGAGACCAATGACTGGAGCACAGAGGCAGACTCATTCACGTCGCCGTGGTTGCCCTCGACGTAGGCCTCAGCAAGCTGGCCCACGGCTTCCAGAGCCTCGTGCACAGAGTCCGCGTCGGCACGCGCAAGCAACGTGGCACAACTTCTGAGAAAAACGGGAACATACGGCAGGTTTTGCTGCTCTATTTCGATGTCATGGCGACGGCTTCGAATCATTTGTGTCGCTTCCACCACGAGCTGCGCGGGATTCCCGTCGCGGCGAAGCATGCGCACCTGCAGACGAGCCAACTCCTCGCACAGTGACCTAAACGCGACGCACATTTCCCCTGGCCGCAATCCGGCACACACAAACACACACAATGACTCACGGCACTGTCCTACGACGCCAAAAATTGGGGTGTGACCAGAGCTACCCGCAATGCGGTCCCCCGCAGGAGCGTTAAAGGAACTTCAGAAGCAAGGCACAACGGAAAAAGAAAAAAGAAATAGAATAAAATGAATTCCGCACAAACTGAAAAAAAAAACACAACACAAAGGCGGGGAATGTCACTGAGATCAAGCACTGAGTTTCAGAACTTTGAAGACAGTGGTGCTTTGCGCCATCCCTTCGGTAGACAAACACACACACACACACGCACGGATGCAACTCCACAACTTCAGAACTTTCCTTTCAATCGTTCTCATTCTCGTTCCTCAAATGGTACATGGCGTGAGTTCTTGGGAGTGTGGCAAATGAAGGAGTATTCTTGCGGGTGTCAAGGTTCCCTCCGCTCGCGCTTGCAGAAAAGGAATCGTTCAAGGCAAACCCATACTCTTCAATCATCTCCACACCACAACCCCCAAAAGAGCCAAGCGAACTTGGCACTGTTGCCGCGTTTGCAAAGCTCTTCCTGGAGACATTTTCACCACTCAATGCGCCATGCAAGGTGTTCGGTGCGCCACCAGGAGAGAGAGGGGGTGAAGTAGCCGCCGCCCCAGTGCCCTGGGGCGCAGCGGGAGCTGAGGGGCTCTCCTCGGACGCAGTGGAATCAACGCTCGCCTCATGGATGCGCGCCAATAAACTACGGCGCGGTGCCAGCTCTGTACGAGCCACACTGAGAGGCGTAAACTGCATCTGTGCTCCCCCGCTACCTTTCGTTCCCGACATACCCACTTTTTTCATCTCCGGTGTGGTGGAGGCAACCTTCACCGCTTTTGCGGGTGAAAAGGAACTTATAGAGAAGGAGCTGTAGGCGACAATAGGATATCCGTTTTCGTCCGTCGAAAGCGGTGTCTCTCTGCCCTCCTCCTCCTTCTTGTCTAACTGCAGGGGCGGCGTCGACGCAGCGACGGCCGAAGAGCTCTGCTCTTCCTTCGATACCAAATTCCTTTGATCCCAGCCACTTGCCGACGAGCCAAGGATCGACGCCAGCATGCCATATGAGGCACCGAGTGACGGGAGAATGCTTCTGTCCGCGGCGTCAGACGCTGCTAGGGGGTCGTTTGCCGTGGAACAGGCGTCCGCCTCCTGACAACTCCGCAAAGAGCTGCGCGCGGCGTTGCACTCCCCACTCCCATAATCCGCCTCCTCTTCGGCCTGTGTTTGCGGCCATTGACATTGAGCGGCGACACGAGGGGCGTCACGTTTCTTTTCCTGCGACGAGCCCTCCTGTGGAGCGAGTGTCGACGAGGCATTTTGCTTCTCTTCTACACTCGCCGAACGCCTTCGCGAATTCCTGCCCTTCTTCTTTACCGCGTGCCGATGGAATCGTCCCCTCCCTCGGCTCTCTGTGTGGGACGACTTGGACGAAGACGACGAGGAGGCTGCCGCCACTGAAGAAGAAGCGGAAGAGTAGGAGGAGGAGGGTCTTCGATGACTTCGGTGCCTTGTCGTCCCTTTTTCCTTCAATGACCGCCCACTCCGTCGGAGACGCTCGGAGCGTTTCCCTTTGCAGCCCTCGCACAGCGCCGGTAACGCAGCCCCGACGTCTTTGCTGGCGGCCAACAGCTGTGCCACGGCTTCTAGCACCTGCTTCGACACGCGATCCGCTGGCGCCGGCGCGCCACTGTTGGCCGCCGGACGAGCCGCGGGCTCGCGCGGGACCAGTGCACCGCCACACGCACTGCAGTGGCCACTCGCGCTACGGGCGGGCGCCGCCGACGGAGGCGCAGATGCGTACGTGGCATCCTTCAAGTAGTACACCATCAACCGGAGCCGCGTCACCTCGGCGTTGAGGGCCTCTACCTCTCGCTCCAGTGTCTCCATCAGCATGGTGGCGCGCCTCTGTCACCCCCCCCCCCACACACACACACAAACTCCACAGCAACCGCGGCTTCTTTCGCCCTACGGAAGTTGGCAAGAAGGGGGGGAAAAAAGTTTAGAATACGCCCAGCAAACCAACAACAGCACGTCTTCTTTGTGGGGGGTTCTCGGCTTCCACGGGGAATAGAGACCCACGCGGGAATCTAGCAGGGAAGCGTCAAGAAAAAGAAAAAAAACGACGATTATGCGAGTAGACAATGTTGTATTTCCACAACACTGAGGAAGGCCACTCCATCTCCCTCCAAAAGAAGAAGAAACGGGAGGCCCTGTACACATCCACAGCCAGGCACAAGCCAGAAAAAAAAAACTACCTTATTACGCCGCAGCATCCACGCTGCCGTCAATAATGCCACTGTCATCGGCCTCCGTCGTAGCCACGGCGTGGTAACCCTCTGAACAAGAGATACTAAACTCTCTCAGCACAGAGGTGGCGTATGAGCCTGGGGGAAGCGAAAATTCCACCAAGATTGCCTTGTTCATCGGAGCCGTTGCGCAGTCGTCTTGCTTAGACTCACAATCTCCCACACCACTGGTGGCGTCCGGCGTCGTTAACTTTTCCAAATCCGTGGGAAGTATGGGCGCTCGGGGTCCATTTGTGCTCACGAGACGCAGATTTAGTCGTTTGGGCTGCACTACCAGCGGTCGATACGCCCCATGGTAATGGTACACCTTCACCAGGGGATTCCCGGCGTTCAAAAGCATCTCCGCCCCCCTCAACGGCAGAGCCGCAAGGTATGCCTCGCGCGTGCAGCCGGCGACACCCGGGTACTGCAGCGCTTCATCAGGGCCTGGAACAGTCAGCAGAACATCACACAAGCGAAAGAGACCAGTGGCCACGTCTTCCGCCGTGAGCCGCACCACCTCCGGGAGACCGTCCTCCTTCAGTAGAACCCTCGCATCCTCGCCTTTGTCCGTGTCACTTGCCCGACTCTCACGTTCCCGTATGCGGGTATGGCGGGACTTCAGCAGTAGGTCACCGGGGAGAGGTTCCAACCCAAGCTTCAATCGCTCAGTCGCCATAAGATTCCAAAGCAAACTTTGTACAGCATGGCAGTACAACATCCCCAGCGTTCGTGGGACCATGTGGAACGCGCCCAAAAAATCGTTGGGGCAGCGCACCAAGTGCTTCAGAATGTCACGCTCCTGAAAACAGTAACGTGGAAGAAGTTGTAGGGCCTCAGCGAAGTCACCTCGATCCACCGCCTCCTTCGAGGGAAGAAGGTTGGGCTCAACAATCGCCTTGGAGTGGAATAGCATGCGCAGCGCCTGCTCAAACTCTCCGGAAAGTAATTTAATACCAACATCACTCGTTAACACTTCCGTCGTGCCAAAGCGCTGCGGGCCGTAGTAGTTCGCCACTCCAATGGAGCCCATAACCTCTTGAATGACCTTCAATGTCTCAGGTGCAAGCTCCGGACTCTCCGGTAGCAGTCGGAGAGCAATGAGAAAGTGGTTGCCCAGCGTGTCGCCGAGGCGCAGTCCAGTGTCTGATTCCTGGAAGCCACACACCTTCACCTTGCACTCCGGACCAAATGATCGAGCATTGATCGCGGCTAGCCGCTCGCGCGACAGGCCTCGAACCGCAACCCGCTGAAGTGTCACCGCTCTCTTATCTTTTGTGCCACTGAAAAGGAGATTTCGCAACGGCACCCCAAGCTGGGTGGCAATTGCCCGCAGGACACGATTGCTGTCAATGTTTTCCTTGTATAGCGTGAAGTGCAAGTATTTCTGCAGGCGTATTGGATTCGACCGGCGCATTTCCTCCCGTCTTGTCGCTGACGTTGGCTCTTCAATCACAAGCGCCCCATCCAGGGTGCGGCTGACGTGCGTCTCCCCAAGCGTCTCCTTAACCGCCGCATGCACCTCCGTGCGCTGCGCCTTCGTTAAGGCGGCCCGAACGGTCACCCGGCCCGCCCCCGTGCGCAACGCGTCCAGCAGCGAGGCCAAATCCTCCTGCGTTAGCAGCGAGGCAAACCGCGCCTGCACTCGCTCCGTCAACGCGTTCCGCTGGACATCCAACGTGGCAGCCGTCGCCTCTCCCTCCCCGGCCTCGTTTCTTTCTTCTTCCTCCGCTTCCGCGGCGCCCTCTCGCGGCCGCTTCACAGCCGTCGCCTCGGGTCCCAACCGCTCCGGTGCCGGCACGGGCTCCAGCACGAGCGGCTCCCCATTGTTGTACAGCGGCGACAGCTCCCGAACCACGAAGTCGGAGTACAACGTTTTCAGCGACACCAGCGGCCGCTTAAACACGGCGCCTGTGCCGTGCTTCGCGAGGAAGGCGTCCATGAGGAAGAAGCGCATCCCGATGCGCTCCTCGCGATCGCGTGCCTTTTCCGCCGAGTAACCCTCCACCATTTCTTAACCTGACAACACAAAAAGTGTGCAGGTGCGGGCACCCGGACACAAAACAGAGGAAATAAGAACGAAAGAGGGAATGTGACCCCAACAGGAGAAAGAAAAAAAAAAGCAACGAAGCATATAAACATAAATATATATATATATATTTCCTCGTTCTTTCGTCCGCATGTGCGTACGGGGAGGGGGGAGGGACGCCCATGAATCGCATCAGAGCAAAGCAGCAAGTCGGACCGCAACCATCGGTAGTTCCTCGGCGACGCGAGGCGCGGCACCCTGCACTTCCGACTTGGCCCCCGCAGCAGCAAATGCCAACGTAAAAAGAAGTGCGTTGAGGTCGGTCAACCCCTCGGAGCCCCGCGGCTGCTGCAGACGCTCCCGCACCCTAAGTTCAACGGCGCGGAGCTCACGCGGCGTGTACCAACAGGGACACACCACGATGGCATATTCCAACGGCAATGTTGACGCCGGCTCCGCCTCCGTTCCCGTGGCAGCCTCCCTCTTTGCAGCTCTCCCAAGTACCCAAGAACGGCACTCCTCCGTCATTGTGGCTTCCATGCTCTTAATCTTCAGTGCGAGCTGTTGGAGCTCAAACCGATTTTCTTTTGGGATGCCTCGTTTCAACTCTGCATAGTACTTGAAGCAGTTGGCGACGATAATTCGAAAATCCTCCGCAGCTATGCGAGCGGCCAAATGACGACTTGCCGCGGCGTTCAACAGACGGGTTAGCTGCGAATTGGAAGCCAAATGAAGCGCGGCGGCGTCAAAGAGAACCAGTTGGGAAATATCGCAAACAACACGTGTCAATCCCAATGCTGCCCCCAGTTGTGCAACACGCCCATCAGCTGCCTCGGTGCGTGTACCCCCAAAACTCGTAAAGGCAAACTCCCGTAAGAGTGAGCTACGCATTTGCAGTTGTGCCACTGTCTGCAGCCGCTGCGCGGGCTCGGCGAGGTCGCCGTCCGGTGACAGGCGCAGCAGCCGCTCCTTTGCCCCAAACATGCGGCCCCACGGGACAGTCAGGGACCTGGAAGGTGAAGCGGCGGAGGGAAGTTGGGCCCCAGCCTCTGTGAAGGCAAAAAACGTCACGGTGTCCAGAAAAGAGGAGACCTCGTCAATGCGTCGCAGGAACGGCGCAGGGCCCGCCTGAAACAGTGCCATGAGAGGCTCGATCTGCCGTCGAATGGCACGGGGAATAAGCGCAAACGGCGCGTTGTTGTCATACGACAGCAATACCGACGCCGCCTCTACAAACTTCCCACAACCCTCTGGGTCATTGGCCTCCTCCATGATGGCAGCCACACAGCCTCGAAGCAGAGCTAAAAGCTCACGACAACTGTTAAAGTAATCGCGCGTGGAACGGCTCCCCTTCGGGCGCCGCGCAGGCGACTTCACAAGCTCCTCGCCCCCCTCAAAGAGATTGGCGTCTGGGGCCGAGCTATGCTCAAGAAAAGCAAGAGGCTCCTCGCGGAGGGGCTCCAATTGCCACTCCAACAGAGTCAACTCCACAGCCAGGATCACGCCCAATCCTGCCACCTGCTGCGGGGTCGCTGTGAGAATCCACGATGGCGCCTCAGGCGCTGTCGGCATGACAGCCGCAGTCGCAGATACAAGTGGTTTCAAGACGTGCTCTGAGAAAACGCCATGGTTCCATGTCCGCGCCTTATACCACGGCGTCTCCACATCCCATGCAGGTGTTTCTTCCCTAATGGAAAGCAGATTGAGCAATTCCACCATATCGACTCCACCCAAGGCCCTCGTAAGCTCATCACTCCCCACGATGTTCTTACACAGAACCCGAGCCACCGAAGCGGGAAAAAATCTGAAGCAATACGCATTTAATGCATCACCTCCCTCGCATGGAAGCAGCCCACTCATACGCAGACATTGATGGCCCTCTTTTTTTGCATCGGTGGTGGATGCATAAAGTTCTGTCTTGCTGCGATGAAGCATCGCGCGAAACGCCAACAACTGTCGCAGTAAACGCACATAACGCCCATAATAAACTGCCCCGACAGGCTTCTCCTGCTGGCGTACCACCATGCAGAGAATGAGCAACAGGAGATATGCCTCATAGCCTCCATGGGCCGTATCGGTCACGCCTGTCGTCAAACAAGGAACATGCTCAACAGCCGTAAGAAATGCGGCATCATTACAGGTTTTAAGCAAAAAGACAAGATTGGATAGTGTGCCCAAGGAGGTTGACGTGGGTAGCCGGGCAAAGGAGCAACAAAGCCACGACAACGAGATCACCGCCACCTCCTCAGTTTGTAAACCCAACGTGCTGAACGCCTCCAACTGCTGCATCAAGGAGCCGAGGCCACGGCCGGCAGAACTGTAAAATACGGCTCCAATTTCTGCCCATACATCATCTGCTGCATTACTCACATCTTCACGGCCCCAAACTGTGTCACGCAAAAACTCCAACCTATACCCCCCGCAATAAAACAGTTTTAAAAAGGCATCCAGTGGAATCGCAGAAATGGGTGGGGGGGCATGCTCGGCGGTGGTGTCCTTATGCGTTTGCAATAACTGTTGTATCGAAGGAAGGAGATCGTCCAAAAGGTTGGCAACCTCCGCGGCGCCAGCCGTGGAAAGCATCTCGGCCGCCGTCCGCACCGCCTGTACAAGGGACGGATGCGGTTGTCCTCCTTCCACAAAGAAGTCTCTGTCGCTTGGCACTTGCGACGCCGTCGTGTCCGCGTGCTGCATTCCACCTTCATCTAGACCCCTCAGTAGTAATGCCCGACGATAATTTGTCACGCAAGCGAGGCGTAGCTCCAAATAATTGAGGCACTGAGCCGCGGTGATGTCGCGTGGCAGATTCTCGGCTGTCATCTCCAGGCTAATAGGGAGGCAGCGGTCATCGGAGACGCCGGGCGAAAATCTACTCTTCACACTGCTCTCCAACGCCTTCATCTGCGCGTGGTACACGGCGAAAAGGCTCTCGTCGGTGGCAGGCACGGGAAGTGGCAATTGGAGCGCCGCTATCAAAACATCTCGCGGCATGACCTGATAAGCTTTTTCCCACAGCTTACTGGGAGACGCCGCTTCTTCACGTCGTGGGGCAGAAGAAGTTGCAGCTAAGGGAAGAGAGGGATGCATTTCCTCTTCCTCCTCCCTTACGTTCAGCTCTACATGTATCCGCACCACCTCTCTGGAGGGCGTTAGCATGAGGATAGACAACGCGGAGGAGACGGACTCCGGACGGAGCATGACGGATCCCCGCGGGACGTGGCGAGCCGCCAGGCGCTGCCCCAAACGCAGAGAGTACAACTCCACGGCGTGGCGAAGCAGGAGGTGCACAACAAGCAACAACATGCGCTTTCCGGCGATGGTGGCCATGCACCATTGAAATTGTGCAGAACGGCAACCCTTCATCACACGCCAGATAGTGCCGCTCATCAAGTCATACAGGTAAATACGTCCAGCCCCCTCACTGTAGCACGCGGCCCATTGCGAGGTGGGATCCACCTGGACACTACTGAAGATCATGTCAGCTTCGTAGAAAGCGTCCTTGGCTTGCTGAGGATGCTTAGCAAGGCGTTTCGGTTTGGACGCCACGCCACCTTCATCTTGTTGGGGCCTTTGCCACAATCTCCGCGCCATGCCGCCCAGGACGGAGACCACAGCTCGTACTGCTTGCCGGGCAGAAAAAGCAGCATGTGTGTTTTCAAACGTGTACGTCGAAAGTGCCGGCGTCTCTCCACACAGAAGGAGGGACTCCATGGCCTGTGGGCCGTTACGGAGGATTGCCGTTGTGTCACACAGGTTCCCAAAAAAGAAGGCCGCGTCACGAATAGTGCGCCCCGTCGTAGTACCAGACATCACTCGCCGCGTCTGCAGCTCCACGGCGGAGTACCGCCCCTCCTCCGACGCAACAAAGACAGATTCCACGTAAGAGGCAAAGTGGGCTGCTGGCCCAGCAGTGGGGAAGGAGCTGACAGTGCTCTCTGGCGACCACTCCAAGATCAAGTATGGCCGCCTCCCATCGAGGCGCTGCTCAGCCACAGAAAGGAATGTGTCAAGTGCGGCTCGATTGAGCAACACGGCGCGCCCTCGACTGTGAACGACGCACACCGCATGGAGGGTTTCCGTCGGCATAAGAGCGATACTTTGTGCAATGTTTGCATTAAAGTGTGCGTCTGGTGCGGCACCCTGCAAGACAAAGCGCACGACGGCCTCATTGCGGCAAATTGGCTTTGTCGCATCCTCTTGAGGCTTCGCATACCGGTGGTGTCCAAAGACGCCATTGTACTGAAACTGCGTCAGCGCCATGATGGTCCCACGGAGCGCATTGCAGACAAAGACGGTTCCGTTGGATGTTCCAATAAACAAATGCACATAGATAGATTCCAACAATCGGTTCCTTCCCTGCAAGGCCTGCCTGGAGCCTTCCACCCTTCGGTAATCGCGAACAAGCTCAACCGCCGTTATCACCCCTTCATCTTCCAGGACGTCAAAGACCTTGGGCAGTCGAAAACTACCTTGAAGGCCCTCAAGAAACCTTGCCTGCTCCACCACCCCAGTTACACCTGACGGAGCGGATCTGGCATTCATGGGGGTGGCGGTGGTGGTGCCGGTAACAGCAGCAGCAGCAGCAGCAGCAGCGGCGGTATCAAGAAGAAACTCCAGAATACATTGATTTCTCGCAGTGTTGACTGAGGCTAAAAGGTATGCACCTGCCGTCAGCTCCACATAGGTGGCAGATAACGGGGAGGGTCGCGCGAGCACTTGCGGCTGTTGCAATGCACCAACTTTCCGCAACGAAAGTGACGCCATGTTGTGCATTTTTTTTTCTGTTGTTGTTACCCGCCCCACCTTGCTGTTGCTGCTGCTGTCGTTTAGGGAAGAAAAACAGCAACAACAACAACAACAGTAAAAGGGG